GTATTATAAAAAGTACAAGATGATCCTTGAAACATTGGGTTGCTCCGAGAGTCTTACATTATTAAATATCAGCTGATGAATAAGTTATAAGTGGAGAGTCACAAATGAGATATCATGTCTTAAATCAAAACTTTGATGTTTATTTTTCACTTATGAATTATTTCATTTATCACACTTGAATAAATTCAACAATTTATCTGAGTAAACAGATTGTTGGGTTTATTCAAGTATGAAATCTCATATTAAATATGAGGAATAAATACAAATTTTATAAGTGGAAAATGTTGAAACTATTATTTTAAAGTTTTAGTAATAACTTTTCACTCTTCTAGTACAAAGATAATAATGAAACCAATTACGTTAGCATCCAACAAAAACATAATGAAATAGTCAATTAACACATGATTATTTTATTACAAGAATGAATAAATCTATAAATTCTTTTTTTAACAAAATATACTCTGAAGTATTATTTTATTAAAATCAGTTTTCCTTCATTTTTGGTACTCCTAAATGTATTCCCTCATTTTTTGGGTAAAGAACTAATCCCTTTTGGGTGTGGTTACCTTTCTCAATAAGTGCCGCTTACAAAAATCGAACTTTGACATTTTTTATTATCCCAAAGATGTGGTGAAAATCATTTTTCCTTCATATATAGCAAATTTGATAGATCAATTTTTTGGCAAATATATCATTTTTAGAGAAATAAAGAGTGATAATATCATAGACCTGTAATGTCCAAAAATATGCTATATCTGGGAATTATTATGCAATTCAACACTAATTTTTGCACACTACATTCATAATCAATTAAATTTATATATATATATATATAAATATATAAATATATATATTGACAATATAAAAGATTTTTTATATTGTCACTACATCATTCATTATTTACAGTTTATCAACAATAATTTTTAAATAAAAATAATATAAATGAATACTTACTCTAATGAATGCAACCACAAAATATTTCCCCGTGCATGTAGCTGCAAATGAAGGGGGATAGTGATGAGAAGTATGATGAACCTATAATTGAAATGTGGTCCCTACACAAAACATGAACAAGCCAATAGTGGTCCCCACTTTCACGAAGAAATGTGTCCACGTGCCCTTGTCTAGTCAGCACCGGACCCACCATCTGCCGTACCAATAAACTTTATTTGAAATCAGGATGTGCTGTCTACACCGAGCACAAGTTGTCTATACCATTTTTTTATGTCACTTCTATGTGCCACCAATTACAAACTCATAATTATGTTTTGTTAACTTTTGGTTAGTTATTATGGTGCAACTTTAATCGACGTATCAATTTATAATTAATGGCACATAGAAATGACATATACATCTTGTACTCGTCTACACGGTGTACTATAAGCTCACACTTTGACTACATCTTATTTTATTTTGTTTTTGTAATATATTTTAAACGAAAACTTATATAGGGAAGAAATAAATAAAATGTCAAACAATAATTAAATTTAGGGAGATAAATTATCTTATGATATAAATATTTTATTCTCTTTTTTAAATATACATTAATATTTCCTTTTGGTTTTCTAAATTAGCATACATTCATTCATCAGTAAAAAGACTAATCTTCCATTACTCTCTTTCCATTATTTATTTTTTAAAATTTAGGATAAGATACTTATTTCGTGTAATACTATTTGTAATAAAGATGTTGTGATTGAACTTTACAATTTACTATCAACACACATTTGATTCAACAACACTTATTTATCTAGCTATGATTTTTTTTACAACAAGAGACATCAATGGTACTAAAAGCTAATGTCTTAGTCAATTTAGTAGCTCGTGAAATAAATATCTATGTCTAGCAACTTTACTCATAATCTAGCAACTATGCCTATAAAATTGAGTTTTAATACAACACCTCAAATGTACTAATTGACATGTCTTGATAATATTAGTAACTTATTAATCTAGCTCAATGTCTAGTAACTATGTTAACAAGATGAAAAGTTATGAATCATTAAAACATCTATATGTCTAACAACTATGTTAACAAGTTTGAGAGATATTTAGTGTTCATATGACTCTATCTAGCAATCACATTAATACATGCACAAATATGACAAATTAGTACAAATAAGTTCAGAAATTATACCAATATGATGAGTTCCTAATTTCAGAATTTAGAATCGGAATTTCTTCAAATATTCATAATTATAACATCATACAAAAAGGTTATCAATATCGAATTAAGCATTAAGCACAAAAGATAACTCATAAGAATCAAAACATATCAATTAAGTATAAACATGAATCAAAATGTATATATGAAGTAAATATTACACATAATCCAAACAAGGTAGAAGTTTAGCTACACATTTTTATAATAACTAGAAATAAAGATACAAAATGAGAAATACAACTTATAAGGGAATAACTTTCGTATTCAATGAGCATAAAATAACTCCTCTAACCTATATCACTTGTTTTTACATCTCATTTCTAGCTAAACAACTCTAGAAATTAAGAGAAATCGAATACACGGTGTATCTACCTGAAATGCTATCTAAAATTCCCAATTTGATTCTCTTTTAAATAGTTTGAACACCGCCTATTTCGTCCAATGCATAGAATTTGATAGACACAACGCTTCGTCTCCCCGAGCCTCAACCTTTCAGCCAGCCAAGCTATTTTGGGCCCGACTTCTATTTGCTGCGATTTCGCCCAACGGTGGGATTGCATTAGGTGCGGCTTTCTGGTCATGTCAGATGCGTTGGGCATGGCTCCTGCATTGGGCCTGAGTTTTTTTTTGTTCCAAAAACTTGAAATTTTAAGGATAAAATCTCACAATTAGGAAAATATTTTTAAGTTTAAGATCAGTTTGCCGATAATTAATTAGACTAACCTATGAGCTAAAGTGCCATAAAAGGTTAACATTCTCATTCTAGTACCAAATATAATTACCTAATACAAGGCCAATGGATAAATGAATTATCCTATGATCATATTTTCCAACAACTTTGTGTAATCACAACAAGACAACAACAAAATATTTCATTATAAACTAATGGGGATTACAAAAGTAGTAATTAGTTTCATAATGAGATGATTACATTATGATGAGCTAGCTAGCTTCTCATAAGAAGTTGATGCCCATAATTTAAGGAGATTTTTCTTTCATTCTCCTTCCATCCATGTTCCTTCAACTTCTTTATGTCTTCATTTGTTTCTATTTTATTATTCATCTTTCATTCTTTCTCTCCTTCTGAAAAGGAACATCTATTAGGAAAAAGGTAAACAAGTTGAAAGGTAAGAGTTATTAGATGACGTGTAATATTAAATGAGTTGTATTGATAGAACAGGAAGTGGAACAAGATTTTGGGATAGATTATCTCATTATAAAGTCACTTCATTCAAATACAAAAAACAAAATGAAAAACTATGTTAAAATTATATGTCCTTTATTTAATTGGAAAATAGACTACTATTAAATAAAAATGATAATTTTTGCATAGTCATAAGTTGAAGGCATAAAAGCATACATAAATAAAATTTGGGGGACAAACTTTGCACCATTGGAAAAAAAAATGAGGACAAAAATGCATATAATGATTTTGGCTGTCACATAAAGTGGCATTTATAATGTCATGTACAATATTTGCCATGTAAGCAAATTCATTAGGAATCTGAATGGAAAAATAATAAAATGATGATTTTTGCATAATTATTAAAAAAATAGATTACCCATAAGGTGTAAGATCGAAGAAAAATTAATTACTCAGGCAAAATTCTTTACTTACATGTATACAATATAATGGCAATATTTTATATTGGAATATATTATATTTTTGTATGTTGCATAAAATTTGACTTACTAGTTTATAATAAGAGAAAGTAAAAAAGAAGATAAAAGATGAGATGATGAAAGGGTGATTGTGGTTTTATGGAGTGAACGTGCGGCTATGTAATTGTACAGGAGAGTTTGAAAGTAGGTTTCGAAAAGGCTAAAAATAATAAGGTAATGATGAAAGAATAGCATTAAATCAATTTTGTTTTTGTTGGTCTAGTGGTGTAACACTCTACTAAATATTTAGAATGATCAAAATTCAAATGTTCAATTTATAGGAGCAATACTTGTTGGGATGGATAAACATACACCCAAAAGAGATTAGTTTTTTACCAAAAAAAATGAGATATTATTTATAGTATAAAAAAATTAATTTTGTCTGTGTGTGTTTGACTGGGAGGCAACTGGTGGAAGCAAGTAACAGGTTGGCTGGTTGACCGGTAGCAGCAGGTCATTGGCATAGGAAATGACAGAAAAATGTTATTTTTTGAACCACGGCCTCTCCATCAACATGATATAAGAGAGTCATGACATTTACCATATTATATTATAATTAAGAGTTTAAGAATAGTGGGTCAATTAGATATGATAAAATACTCTTTATCATAATGTTGCCAAATCCAAATTATTAAAATTACATTATTTATTAAATCACTATAATTTTTTTTTTTAAATTAAACCACCTTAAGATTTAAGAAGTTGTTTTGGCCAAACTTACTTCATAAAAAATGTTTGGAATCCGGTATGGGTCAATTTTCCAACTCCCAAAACAAAGCTTATTTTGATAAATATAGAATAGGGTGTAATTTTTTATTCTATATTTAACTAAAAACAATCTGAAAGGGTAATTTAAAAACAGCATTATCTAGTGTGAGGTAGTGCTTTCTGGTTTCCGTATATATATAAGCTATAAGTTGAGTTAGGGTTTTCAAAGTGAGGGGTCAACAAACACCAGAAACATTCTGATAACGGGGTTTTGGTGTGTTCAGGGGAATGTTGACTGGCTCAAGGCCTTAATTTTCACAACCAGAAGTTCAAAGAGTGATGAACTTTAATTTAAGGCTTCGGATCAGGCTTCAGTCCCATCAAAAAACATGTTTTGGGGTTAAAATCTTATATATCATCAATCTTTGAAGGCTATATTATATGTATATGTTCCTGCAAATGTTGGGTTGAGAGGAATATTGTCTGGCTCGAGGTCATGAAGGAGTATATTGGTGAAATCTTTGAGGAATTTATACCCTCTAACTCTAACCCTAAATGATTCTCGGACCAGGCTTTATTCCTTCCAACCAATATTTGCTATTTTGCAGTGCTACATAGCTAATTTGAGTTTCTTTATGAAGATCATCGATTCTCTTGGTAAGGCTTTTCTGTTCCAGTTCCTATGTTGTTGTATATGTTAATTATATATGCTGCTTTGTAGTTTTGCATCTTTCTATCAAGCACCAGAAAAGAAGGCTGTTTTGAGGTTAGAGAATTTTCAGCTATATTGTTTACTAATATGCTTGGTGTTAATTCTAATTTAGATTGACGTATAGTTTGGAATTTGGCTTAATATTACTAGTTTAATTACTACCTTAAACTTTTAGCCGTGTTTCCATTATTCTTCTACCTATTTTTTTTCTTCTTTTTACATGGTTAATTCAATCTTCTTTTTTTAAGAAAGGAAAGAATAAAGAAAATTCAGTTTGCATTATACTTTCCATGACCCTTTTGTTTATCTCAGGCTCAGCGAGATTGAGATATGGACACGCATGCACCACCAAACCCAAGTTCAAGTATCTCTAGTTTTCTGCAAAATATTTATTTAAGATAAGCATTTTCATCTGAACAGGAATATTATATTATTATTGCTTCTATTATTAAAACAAAATGTTCTAATTAATCAGCCCTTGAATGTCCATTTCATCTAGTGGACAAGAAAGGTGAAAGCATGTACAGTGAAAACCTATCAGATGTGAAATTCTCTCTTTATCTGCAGTACCCTTTGCTAGAAGTTCTGCCTCTAGGTCTTTGTAGGGCTTAATTCAAAGCACATATAACATCCCTATTCTAAGGTCCTTTCAGCTTTTTTTGAATTAACCTGTTTTCAGACTGGTGAAAATTATAGGGAAGGGTACCTCTCTAAATTTACTGGGGAAAAGAGCATCACTTTCATGAATCTGAATGAAAATTGTACATTTGTACTATACAGGTAAATTAACAGTAAAGACTTCAACACAGGACAAGTTTTAGTGTTTTACCCCTAAGTTTTTTATTATTAAGTTATTCAAAAATGTTTCTTGTACATAATATATCTGCACAGAAATTTCACACATGAAAAGTGGTTCTTTATTTTAGATTATAAAATAAGATAAGGTTATCTATAATTATATTAATTATAGCGTTTCAATAAAAAATATTAACAACAATGACAATTGTTCCTGAAATTATAAAAATATTTGGTCCTTGAGTTTATAGTTTTATGTAAAATAGTAATAATTAATTTATTCCTTGTGAGAAACTTAGATTATTATTATTTTTAAACTATCAAATTGACGATAAGAGTTAAAGTCAAAGACAATATTTTTGTAATCTCATCCAACAAATTAACTAATAATATTTATATCAATTATATGAAAGATGAAATTAAACTTTTATGGCTCTTAAAACAAATAGAGATCAGGTTTCCCATTTTTGTTGTCATAATATGTCTCAATCTACTTAAAAATTGTCACGTAATTAAAAATAAAAATAAAAAATAAAAAAATGATTTTTTACATTATTTTTACAGTATAATTAACTTGAGACATGAGAACGTGAATTTTTTGTACTTTTTATTATCTTAAAACAAGTGACAGTAATATGTATGGGTTATCAAAACCGTAAAGTACTGAAGTGAATGATATGGTGGTATAACATTTAATTCAAGCATTAGTGAAATTAAATATATATCCATAATGTATAAACATTACTGATACAACTAATATAAAGTACTTGATAATCATTTTTATTTACGCTAATTGTTAACCAAAACATACAATTTTGTGGAAGACCATGATTTATAAGTATAATCAAAAGTAATAATTGTATGTTTGATTCTGACATGATTTAATATGACTAGTATATTTTAAATGTAAATGGGCATGATGAATTTATGATTGGTTTTAACTGATTTTGACTAGTATAATTGAATGATCGATATAGTATGAGGGTCAATTTACTGATTGAAACGACGGTACCCTAAAGTTTTCACATCTTTGCTTAAAACTACACATTGAAATAAAAGTAGCAATACCCTCTTCCATGATTCTGACATGATAAATGTTTCAGTAGATACAGTGTTGGAATTGATTACATTTTTGTTGTGTAGTGAAATGGCAGCTATGAGTAATAAAGTCATGCGCTAGATGCGGATGCTGCTGCTGCTGAATGAATGAAACAAGAGAAGAAAGTAGTGAGAAAAATGGAGTAAGAAATATATATGTGCTGGAACAGTTAACGAGAAATAGTGAGATCGAAGAAGCTAAATAGGGATTCTTTCTCTGTAACACTTTCTTCCTAGAGACTAGATATGTTTTCCATTATCTATCTGTACGCAGAAGCTGATGCAAACTTAACCTGGAAAATAGAGAAACAGAACATGTCTTCTATATATACATGTACGTGTGTGTGTCTCAGATGTGTTTTTTTGTGTAACGTATTTATGGAGCTTTTAAAGTTGTTCAAAATTCAGACACCATCTTTAGAAATAGCTCGGATCACCAAAATCAGTACTTTCTTCCTCCTTTTCTTTGGGGTCATAGTAGTAAAATACATTCTCGATCACACTAATATATATTGCACGAAGTGATATCCCTTACCATTTGGGTAAAAAATTAATCTCTTTCGGGTGTATGATTCTCCTTCTTAACAAATATCATTATCAAGAATTGAATATTTGACATTTTGATCTATTTGATTATCTAGTATGGCCTTACACCACTAGATCAATATTATTCACATATTATGAGCAGCCTACCAAAGATTCTATCTCACAGCCATAATTTAAGTTAGGATAAAACAGTAGCAATGTATATAGGTAAAAAGTTCATAATTTAATAGTGTAGTTATACACAAACTTAAAATATATAAATTAAATTTCCAAAGTAAAAAGTTGATATATAGGAAGTTGTTTTGGGCTAACTAAGATGTAAGTAAGAGGGAGAAGAGAGTAAATGAGGAGTATCTGACGTTTATTGGGAAATGAAAGAGAGAAAGAGGGAACAGAGAGACTCGGGGATCGTTTCATCACAAAGTTGGAATTGGATCCTTTAAAGAAAGGAAACAATGGCGTACACATTTACTGTTGGAGACTTTCATCATCAATTTATTATACTGTACTATCATAGACTCACATATTCACTTTCTAAAAAGTTTCTCTAATTGTTTTACAAGTCTTTTTTTCTTTCATATTTGATTCTATTAAAAAAAAATTGTCTATCTCTATTTTTTATACCGACTATTATGACTGAACATGAAGTATGACTCATCTCCATTAATGGAGAGACAATTGAGTTTTTTATGTGTATTATAGGGGTAAAAGTGTAATCATCTTTTAAATAAAGAGGACAAAAGTGACATTACATCTTTCATTTTCTTTGATTTTTTAGGGTACTTGTCTCTCTATTAATGGAGAAGAGTGACAACCTATTGTTAATAAGAATAAAAGATATCACTTTCTAAAAAAAATCAAATATTCATGTTCTTAGCCAATAAAATATTAACAATTAATATAAAAATATTATATTTTTTTATTTTTCCTTTTTAATTAAATGGTATGTGATCTCCATTGGTTAAGAGGTAGATATGAGAAGAGGAGAGCAGCAAGTTAGACATGAGCATAAACGGCAAAACGAGCAAAGCATGCAAACCCGCCTATATAAGTCACAAATTTTTGCGGCCATAGCTTATAAAATTTGACCTTTTATCCGTTTTGTCTTGCATGTTTGCCCGCCATACTCGCATGCATTTCTATTCGTAATACGGGCGGGTTGCATGCCCGATGTAAGAAAAACCAATTTAAATAAATTATGATCTGATTTAATATTTTAAAATTTTTTAATATAATATAATTTGTTTAACTTCAAAAGTTTTTTTTCTAAATCGGTTACTATTACTTTATTTAATTTTTTTGTATTAATTTTTTCTTTTCATATTGCTTGTCAATATTGGTAGGCCACTCGCATGTCCGTTATTCCATTTTAAAACGGACAACACATATTATTTTGTCTGTTAAGATAATGTGTGCATGTTTGTGCCCACTTAAAATTTTATGGGCATTAGGGGGAATATGCAAAACGGGTTAAGCAACCCCTTTTGCAATCTCCTAAATCTAAACCTTAAGAATTTACATAAGTCTTTCGTAATTAAACTCTTAAAGTCATCTTTCATATTCAAGATAACAATGTACATTTAAAACACTCAACATTCACACTATTAACTAACACAAGTAAATGAGGATGTAATCTAGGAATGGCAACGGGACGGGGCAGGGCGGGGTCGGGTTTGTGCTTACCCAAACCCGAAATCCAAAACCCGAACCCGAATTAAGCGGGGTAAGAAACAATGATATCATCCGCGAACCCGTCGGGTTTCGAGTAACCCGAACCTGAAAAAAACTCCGAAAAACATATATTTTAATATATATAGTTTATATATATATATATATATATATATATATATGTGTATGAAATTTATATATGTATAGCTTACATATATAGCATATATATGTGTGTGAAATTTATATATATATATATAGTTTTTATGTATGTATTTATATGTAATTGTATAGTTTTATATATATTAATCGGGTTCGGGACGGGTCCGGGTTTGATATTGTTAATACCAAACATGAACCCGAAATTTGAATTCGGGTAAAACCCGAACCCATTCACATCGGGTTTTTCTCATTATATTCGGGTTGGGTTCGGGTACTCACAAGTTCGGTTTTCATTGTCATCCCTATTGTAATCTTATAATTTATTTGAAAATGTTTTATAATAAGAATAAGAGTAACTCTCGTTTCAAATGTTTTTGCTGTAACCCAGGAATTCATTTCCTTTTTTATTTAAAAGAAAAACATTTGTGCCGAAAAAAAGAAGAAAAAAACAAAAGCATTGAAACATCATTCAGATCCATTTCATCATTGACCCTTCTTTATGTTTTAGTTTTTAACTATGTATTGCTCTATATATTTATCATAATATATATTTGTATAAATATCGAAAAAAACACATATTTCTTATTTCCCACTAAGATCATAGTCGTTT